GGTTTGGGTGATTCTTAGGCAGATGTTACGTGCTGTAATATCCAATACCACTGTCGGGTTTGGGTGATTCTTAGGCAGATGTTACGTGCTGTAATATCCAACACTATTGTCAGGTTTGGGTGATTCTTGGGCAGATGTTACGTGCTGTAATATCCAATACCACTGTCAGGTTTGGGTGATTCTTGGGCAGATGTTACGTGCTGTAATATCCAACACTATTGTCAGGTTTGGGTGATTCTTAGGCTGATGTTACGTGCTGTAATATCCAACACCATTGTCCTGATAGACGCATTAATTGAAATTGTTGGTGATACTATTTCCGGAAATCAATGAAATACATGTAAGTCATTTCCTATACAGGCATACAAAATATTTGGCCCGTAGATTACAAGGTCCCAAAATCCCTTTGTGACTTTCTAACCATATCGTGAACAGGAGGATGACATTAGACTGATGAATGAACTAACATATTAAGTCTGTAACATCATAAAGGATATAGCAATGTTATACCTTTTCTGGCGATTTGAATTTCCCAAAATAACAAGAATGTTTTGTTTACTCACGTGCTCTTCTTACAGAACTCGTCCACTAGGGAGTGATGGTGGTAATACACAGAACACGGAACACTTCTGTAAAAAATATGAAACAATTATTTCAGGGTGTTTCCTAAGAGTGACTGTACATTACATGCGTGTTGTATTATCTTATTTCAAGGTAATAAAACTGGTACAATATTCGTTAATTATTTTTTTTTTACATAAAACAACAATGTTCTTTAGGAGTCTGTTTCAAGAAGAAGAAGAAATATTGAATTTCTCAACCACAACATTTTCTAGTTTAATATCTCAGCAAACAATCTGCTTTGATCAGAGTTTTATTTGATATTATCTGTTTGATATTATCGAAACTAAATAAAGAACAATTTTAATCACTGAAAACTAAACAATAATATATATATTCTTTTAAACTTAGGGAAACGATAAAGCATAATATTTATTTAGTTAGGCCTAACACCATTATTTGTACTTAATGAACCATTAAGCTTGAGTAACAATGTCTGCATTTGCCTATTTACTTAAATATTTACAATAATATTTTCATTCAATGAATAAAAACAGTACTTAATAATGTTTCTGTTACAGTAGAGTACAATAATATTTAATCAACAAATTTCTCTTAAAATTAGGATGTGTTTTTTAAATTGTTTTTGGATTTCGCGCAAAGCTACACGAGGGCTATCTGCGCTAGCCGTCCCTAATCTAGAAGTGTAAGACTAGAGTGAAGGCAGCTAGTCATCACCACCCACCGCCAACTCTTGGACTATTCTTTTACCAACAAATGTTTGGTGTGACCCTCAGATTGCGAGTCGAGCACCCTAACCACCTGGCCATGCTGGGCCGTTTTTTTTTTTAACTAGTTAATAATTACTGTTAATGTATATAACAACATTTTTGTTAGAATAGATAACAATATAGATATTTCTTTGAGACAAGACAATGGATATTAAAATAAACTAAGCCATCGGTTCTCAGACTCTTTTAATTTAAATTGTTTTCGCGAACTCCCAAACCGATCTGTGTTTTGTTTTTTTAAAGAAGATTCCGTGTACATGAAAAGCTGTATTCTAAAATTTAATTTTTTAATTCATGTAAATTTAATTTTACGAAAAACATTTTTATTCTGTAAATCACAATTTTTAAATATTTTTATGAAACAATACCCCAGTTGAGAAACGCTGAACTAAAGTAAAGGAATGAGCCACCTAGTGTCATTTTTATTTTTAAATAAGTAAATAATATCACGACACACGTTTTTTTTGTATATAGGTCGAAGAAAATTGTATACAAATTTGATATTTTAGGAGAAAAGTGAACTTACGAGCTTCCTTCATTTTATAAATGTTTCAGTTTTTGTTTGTATGTTGGCAAAAACTCTTATGTTATCCAAGCTAACGGGTTATATCAAAACTCTGTGTATAACCAAGCTGTAATGCGCTTTTCAAGAAACGGGTGCAAATGGATCTATTATCGGATTCTCACGTTCTAGTGCCCTCTAGTGACAGTATACTTTAACTTTATTACGCCATGTGTAGTTTAGTTTTGGTGATCCAGCGATAAGTTTCATACACTTCTCACCTTTTTTTTTGTCTGTGTTTCCTTCAGCGTGTTCTGTACGTTATCTCCCAGCTTATCGGAATAACGTCTTAGTGCGTTACAGCTTGCGTACGTAACGCCAAATAGTGCGTTGTATCTCGCGGTTCGATGTAAAGTTTAGACAGTTTTTTTGATGATCCTACCAAGGAACACTCGTAGCGTAAAGTTAATAACGTTAGTCACTATTTATCACGTGTTTCTCAAACCATCCAATGTAGTAACTGTGAGTAGTACTTAACGTTTTAAACTAATAGGCTTCAGGCTAAATTCACATTGTCTGTCTAGTTAACACGTTAAATAAAAGGGTTTTGTCGTGGGTCGAGCGCACGAGACAAATGAATACAATAATTAACTAACGTGATCACACCTTGTCAAAACCACTAGGCTGGGAAAGAATACTTTCTTAAACCAGTTGAGTTATTATATTTAGAAATTACGTTAAAAATTAGTATTTTCATAGAATGGTATTTAACAT